CGACAAACAATTTTATGTTTAAGTAAATCTTGTTAGGTTTATTAGTCAGTAATCTAAATATGCATTCAATTACTAAGGGGTGCCTCATCCTAGGGGGAACTTTACTATTAACCTACTTTTTAAACTTTGTTTATTGTGTTCTCTGTGTCACAACCCTGGCTGTCCTGGAACTTATTCTGTAGACCAGGTTGGCCTCAAACCATGGTGTTACACTGGCTTTTCACATTCTTTGTTTCTGAATTTATTTTCAAAGTAAAAATATGTGTTAGATTTATTAGTAGTAATTATTATTACTCTTACTCAGGGGTGCCTCATCCTAAAGGGAACCTAATCAATGTGGGTAAGAGCTACATTAGGGCTTCTTCTGTCTTAATGGGGGGAGGGAAACTTATCATTTTCCTTTTTTATGTTCCTATAGAAAAAAGCCATGACTTCTACCCACTGTGAGTACTATGCATGCATGTGGTAGGCATACATACATAGAAATAAACAAATACTCATACACATAAAAACAAACCTTTGAAAATAACAAGGTAGAGAGCTGTTGAGGAAGATAACAAATAACCTTTGGCCTCTGTACACATGTGTACACACATGTGTGCACATGGGTATGCACACAAATACAACAAAAGAAAAGGAGTTTCAATATGACCTAATGACCTTGTTTTCCTATTTGCCCAAAGGAAAGAGATTTCTCTCTGACCTTTTTTCCTGTATTTACAGTGCTATGCCTGCCTTTACTCCTTCATGTGTTTACAGTGCTATGCCTGCCTTTACTCCTTCATGTGTTTTCCTTGTTTATCCATCCCCTAACTCTCCTAAGAAACACATGGAACTGAGTGCAGTGGTGTACACTTTTAATCCCAGCGTTCATGAGGCAGAAGCAAGTGGAGCTGTCTCTGAGTTTGAGTAGTATGTAGTGAGTTCCAGGCCAACCAGCTACATAATGAGACTCATAAGTAAGTGGGTAAGTAAATAAGAAGGAAGGAAGGAAGGAAGGAAGGAAGGAAGGAAGGAAGGAAGGAAGGAAGCGTGGTACTCTAGGGAGCTTTTCTTATCTAGGAAGAACATAGTTATATTTCTTTCTTTATATGTTGTATGCAGTAATATACTGCAGTACTGTTAAAACAATCAATTTTTCTTTGTGTAAGCCTGATTCTTACGCTGGATTAAATAAGGTATTAGTATTAATTATCTGAACCACCACTCATGAATAGTTTGTTCCATAGAAGCCTAAGTTTATACACAGAGACCAAGAAAAAAAAATCTGTGTAAGTTTGAAAGCCAATATATTTTAATAGACATTAAAATTGAATGGGTACAGTATATAGATCCTTACAAATACTGTTTTAATGTTTAAACAGGCTGTTAACAAATTGGCAGAAATAATGAATCGCAAAGATTTTAAAATTGATAGGAAGAAAGCTAATACGCAAGATTTGAGAAAAAAAGAAAAGGAAAATAGGAAGCTACAACTGGAACTTAACCAAGAAAGAGAGAAATTTAACCAAATGGTTGTGAAACACCAGAAGGAGCTGAACGACATGCAAGCGGTAAGGTCTGTGTGTGTGCGCGCACACAGAGACCATCTCCTCCATGTGTCAGTCTCTACCTGTTAACCTGTCTTGCTTAAAGTAGACTTACTCGTGTAAAAGTTTATGTTTTAGTTTATGGCATTTACATTTTGATCATACATGCTCTCTAATGTGAACATTTTTCCTGAAAATTTTCAAAGGTGCTCTCTTAACTCTTAGTTGTCATTATTTCAGTAATATTTACTAATTAGCAGTTACTTATTATGCTTAGGTTAGAGGATCTTGATATAAGTAGCCTGTTTTCCTACTCAGTGTCTTCTTTTCTAGAATTAAAATACCAGTAGTATTTTATACTTCTTACATGTCAATAACAAAGTTATGAACATAAAATGGTCTCAAGACTCATTTTATGTATTTTTTCATACCTTATATTTAAGAAGAAAAGAAAATTTTCTTAACAAAGTAGGGTGAGGGGCTGGAGAGATGGCTGTGTAAGAGTATTTGTTGTTTCTGCAGAAGACGGGTTTGATTGCCAACACCCGTATGGTAGCTCAGAGGCATCTGTAACCCCAGTGCCAGGGGATCCAGCAGGCATGAACATGGTATGCATACATGCAGGCAGACAAAATATTCATATACATAAATAATATAATTTAAAAGGTAGTGGTTATCTTTAGCATTGAACTAAGAAACAACCTAGTTCTGTTATAGTTGTCAGGCACTACTAGTAGCATACTCCCATCCCAGATACTTGGAGCAGACAGGAAACATGCTTGAGCTAAAAGTTCTGGGTGGTCCTGGCCAACTGTGTTTCCAAAAGAAACCCAACAATAATAATAAACATCCATGGTGTATAGCATGTTTCACACTTAATTACTCATTTACATTGCAGTTATTAAATTTTAAATTATTTGAGTCTGATTATTTTTATTATCCTGATATATTTTTCAAAAATAGCAATTGGTAGAAGAATGTACACACAGAAATGAACTTCAAATGCAATTGGCTAGCAAAGAGAGTGATATTGAGCAGTTGCGTGCAAAACTTTTGGACCTTTCGGATTCAACCAGCATTGCTAGTTTTCCTAGTGCTGATGAGACTGATGGAAACCTTCCAGGTAAGAAAAATTCTGTTCTGTCATCTGGGTTTGCTCATGTTTTTTATTTTTCATTCCATCATTTTGTTCTTGACTCATTAAGAAGGAATTGTTTTTAATAGCCAAGACATATGACAGTTATTTGCTTAGGTACATTTTGTAAAAATAAAAGCAGTCATAAGCAGGCTATTCAGATATACTGAGGATGTGTAAAGAAAAGAAAATGATTTTTGTTTCTCAAGACAGGGTTTCTCTGTGAGCCCTGGCTGCTCTGGAACTTGCTCAGTAGTCCAGGCTGGCCTGCCTCTGCTCTGCCCCACATTCCCCCCCCCCAACCCCTGTCCTGCACTTAGAGGTGTGCACCACTGTGCCTGACTCTGACAGAACCACAGTGGCTATATACAGAAAGCCTAGGCAGTGTTTTAGTGAGAAGCCTGCAGTAGTCTTTGTCAAGTTGTAAGTTTGCAGAAATAGAGAAAAGGTGATACTGTTGAAAGGACAGAGGGTGAGGGGAAAGCTAACCAGAAAGTAAGCACAAGTAAACGCCTGATGTTCCTTTTCTCTGTTTCCCTAATTAATGTAAGTAAAAACAAATATCAATAAATAGATACATAGATATTCTTGGCTTAATTGGAGTTCAAATGAAGTGAATAGGTTACAGATACTAAAATGTATAGCTGGAGAGGTGGCTCAGTGGTTAAGAGCATTGTTGCTCTTTCAGTGGACCCCGGTTCAGATCCCGGCACCTACATGGTGGCTTACAACATCTGTAACTACAGTTCTAGAGTATCCACACAGGCAACAGGCCTCCTCTGACCTCCACACAGGCAACAAACGTATATGTAGGCAAAAAAAAAAAAAAAAGCCACACACAAACACACACACATCAAAATAAGATAATTCTTAAAAAGTGTAAAGCATGCAGGATGCTTGTGGTGCCAACATTCTTAGTTCAGTGTTTCATATGTGGGGTTTTTTTTGTTTTTTTGTTTTTTTGAAACCACATAATGGAAAATAGATTTTGTTAGTATATTTTCTGTATAGTACATGAGTAAAAAGATACTTTTTAAAAGCTGGACAGGTAATGTATTTCAACAAAATACACTTCTTTCTATTTTTGTAAAGTTGATACGCTACTTTTGAAATTTTTTGTTGCTCAGGAAAGTGGTACTCAAAGGATATGTATAATATCTGCCCACTTGCATTGGTGTCTTTGCCCTTATACTTTAGCCCAGAATCAGGTTTTTGTGAGAGTTAATGGAAAGAAGGATTACTTGCTATTCTAAAAGGCCAGGGATGCCTTCTGATTCTCAGTGTTTGCCTCTCTTATACAGCTTATGCCTCTGGACAATAGTAGCTGTGGGTTAATAAGAACCTCTGCTTTTGGCTACTTAGACATTCAACCACAGACATAGTAGCAAATACAACTTATAGAGGCTTTTGATTATTGTCTTAAAGTTTTTATTGCTGTGACAAAAAAAAAATCATGACCAAAACAGCTTGGATCTGGAGAGATGACGGAGTGCTTAAGAGCACTAGATTCTTCCAAGAGGATCTGGTTCCATTCAGATCACCCATGTGGTGGCTCATAAGCATCCGTAACTCCAGTCCTGGGGAACCAACACTGTCTTCTGATCTCTGTGGACACCCGGCACTTATGTGGTACACAGGTACAGATATAGATACAGATATAGATATAGGTATGCAAGCAAAACACTCAGACATTTAATCAATAAATTATTTTGAAGAGCAACTTATATTTCTTGGGTCACACTCCATCTCTGAGGGAAGTCAGGCAGGAACTCAAGCAGGAACCTGAAGGAAGGAACTGAAGCAAAAGCCACAAAGGAACACTTCTTACTGGCTTGCTTCTCGTGGCTTACTCAGCCTGCTTTCTTATACAATCCAGGACTGCCTGCCCAGAGATGGTGCTGCTCAGAGTGAGCTAGGTCCTCCTACATCAGTTATTAATTGAGAGAAGTTTACTGCAGTGTAAGAGGGAACTTGTACACAGCTGCAGCTGGTTCCTGATGTTGGCAGGTAGTCTCAATATACCTTTTGTCTTCAGCACCTTCTATTTAGCATATATGAATCCTGTATGAGAGCTTCTCAAATGTGCAAAGCCTGTGCATTTGAGGTTCCTCTTCCCAGGTAACTCTAGTTTATATCAAGTTAAAGGGGTGGAGGACAGCCAAGACAGTTACCACAGTCATTTAGTTTTTGACTGAAATTATAAACTCATTTTTTTGTTAGACACAGGATACTTCTGAAGTAAAGGGACTCTATTTAATGTCAATCCAAAATCCCAAGGAGGGCTCTCTCTTTGTCCCATGCATTTCTGTTAGCTTGTGATGTCTTACTGGTTTTGTCTAAATTTCAGAGATTTATACCTTATTAGGAAACATAATTAGAAGACTTGAATTAAAAGATGAGTTGGTGTGATCCAGACTGGCAAAACACATGAGGTGGTTTGATTGGCAGGCTTCAGGTTAGGAACCCTGATTAACCTGGGAGTCTTTTGGCAAAGGGATTTAAATGTTTTTACTGGCTCTGTTTTGCATTTTTGTCTGTTTTTATTTTAAAGTTTTGCTTAAACAAAAACTTTTAAATATTTCCAGATATTTTGTTTATGAGGCTATCAAATGTCAAAGTACTCTTGGCATCACTGTGATGTCAGTGTAGGAACATTAGAAAAAATACTGCAAGCTGAATCCTGACTTTCCTATTGAATGTAGAAACTAAAGGATAATCTTTCAAAATTACTCTTCCTTGAGGCTAGAGAATGGCTTAGTTTTGAGCACTTGCTGCTCTTGCAGAGGACTGGATTTGGTTCCCAACATTTTTACGGTGGTTCACAGATATTTATACTTAAGTTCCAGGAGCCCTGATGACCTTTTCTGGTCTCCTTTGACACATATATAGTAGAGTTACATATAAACAGGCAAAAGCTCATACATTAAAAAAAAAAAAGTAAATTACTTTCCCTCCTGCATTAGTTATTTTGCTCCCCAGTAGAAAATTCATATTAAATTCACTATACACTAGATAGTTGTAACACAAAAAAATAAAAGACAGATATTGCGGTTCAAGCTTCAAGCTGAAGATCAGAGAAGCAAAACAGCCAAGCCAGTAGCTCTTACCTTTACCCAGCTGAAATGACAATCCTGTCTCCACAAATCCTCAGAGGCAAAAAGCTCTCAGTTCCTGTCTCGTCCTCCTTATATTCCTTTTCTGCCCAGCCATAAAGTCCTGTCTCCATCTCCCTGGAGCTGGTATTAAAGGCATCAAAGGCATGAGCTCTGTTACTCTTCACTCTGGTGTAGGCCAGGGTGGCCTTGAACTCAGAGATTATCTGCCTCTGTCTCCTGAGTCCTGTGATTAAAGGTGTGCACCACCACTTCCTAACTAGCTAGTATGGCTGCTGGGATTAAAGGTGTGTAACACCACTGCCTGACCACTATAGCTTGTGTGTGGCTTTGCTTTCTGAATCCTCAGGTAAGCTTTAATAAATCATCAATAATATATCACCACAGATGCTTAAAAATAGTTTTTGACAAATAAGAAATAAGGTTTTGTAAAGTATTTTAATATTTATCCTTAATATAAATTGCATATTATTTACTTGTTTAGAATATTTCTTGAAGAGGACTAAACTTTTAATTTTACTTCAGGTTAGTTAATGGGGGCTGGAGAGATGCTCAGCAGTTAAAAGCACTGCCTGCTCTTCCAGAGGTCCTGAGTTCAGTTCCCAGCACCCACTTGGTGGCTCAAAACCGTTTGTAATTGTAATCTTATGAAATCTGATGCCATCTTCAGATTTGCAGGTGTACATGTAGACAAAACACCCATATACATAAATACATCTTTTTAAAAATTAGTAAATGAATTTGCATATTATAAAAGGAGAACTTTAAATAGATTGTTATTCAACAGTTAAAATAATAACTTTTTAAAGTACATCCTATATTTTTAGTTCAGTGATTTGGCTTTATAAGTAGTTGTATAAATGAAGTGACACCATTTCATTATTTCTCTGAAACATCATTTAATATAGAAATTCTAACATATCTTAGCTGTCTAATGCTTAGCCTCTATAGTGCTTTTCATGGGTATTTTGTCATCAGTTAAATCAAATTTTTCCTAAGCTTCCTAATTCTAAAAATCTTAGAAAAGCATGTTAATTCTCTCACTTATCACTGAAGTTCCTGCCTCAGGTTTTCCAGCAGGTGGTGATCTGGCACACTGTGAATATGGAGAATATAGCTAAAACATTGCATGGTGGTTCTCTACCACTACTAAATTGGATGTAATATATTAAAGTAAACTTTGGTGATCATGATATTTAAATTGCCTATGTTAGCTATTAATTTACATCCAATTAGGCTCAGTGTGTTATGTGAGTGAAAGAGTCAGTTGTTGATGTTGCAATGCTACAGACATTTTTCAAAATTGCTTTATAAATATATAAAATCCAAGTTAGTTTTGTACTTCTGTGGTAAAGTGTTGATGAAAATCTAGTCTAAGTTCTGCGCTTCTTTCTGGAGAGCCTAACTTGTATGTATGGATGTGAAAGGTGAATTTACAGCACTTGGGTGCACATTGCCCCCCTGGGCCAAAGTGGTGGCTTTCAGGACCTAGTTAGATACATTAGCAAAGAGAGGAAACAGAAAGGTAGTGTCATTGCTCTGGCATGAGCTTAGCCTCTAGTCTAAGCCATCTCTTGAGAGAGGGAGAGAGTGTGTGTGTACGCCTGTGTGTGCACACATACACAAATGTACACACATATCTGTGTTTAAATTTATACTCTTGATCTTAGTTCTGTTCTTAACCCAAATGTAGAAAATCACTGAAGTGGGTAGGGACGGGTATTTTAGACTACACTGTTTTGTATAAAGGTCAATATTGAAGGGCTTTTATTTTATCGAGGAATTACTAGTATTAGACATCCTAAACCACACTTTAAAGTAAGAGATCCATTTTTGCCATATTAGTGGAAAAATTTCCTAGTAGTATTTCTCCTTTCTTAAGATAAAAGATTTATGATGATCAATATATAATGAGTAGCCTTCGCTACATTATTTAATATGAAACTGCCTGTTTGGTTTTTAAATTGTAATCATTATTTAGAGTTATGTGGCTAATTTAGAAAAAAGGCAGAATAGCAAAGTAATAAGCCATAGGCTTTATGAATCAAACATTAGGGTATGGTCACTGTTCTCTCAAAACTTGAAAAAACTATTTAAGAGAAAAATAATTATTGATAAAATAAACGGTAGGAGTAGTAAAGAAAAGACTTAGGTAGAAATAGAGAAAACTTGAATTTAACTTACCACAATTTGATTTAATGAACCAGTGTTTTCATGAGGGTGACTTAACACAGACAAAAGCTTGGTTTTGTAAGTTAAGTAACTGGTAGTAGTAGCAACAAAAAGAATATTACACCCAGTAACTTACTATTGTGAGACTTGAGAATAGACTAACATTCTATTTTAGAAACGTTACTTCAGAAGTTAAGACATACTGGATTTTTATAGATACAGATAAAGGAGGCTTTAGAAAGTCAGCCACTTTTGCTAAGCCCAGGTGTCATAATTTTTTAAGTGGAGAGTGACAATAGAACTATATATAAGAATATTACATCCTATATTCTAGGACTTTATAAATCTTAATTATGAGCTATCACTTGTAAAGCATTTTGGCAGTCAAATGCTCAGTAATGACATCTGTAAGACTGAGCTTTTAGCTTTATGTGAAGAGGGAAAAATAAATGTTCCTACTGGGATTATAATTTCAGCCATAAATCACACTATATCAGTGTACTTTAAAATTGGTTACCTTTCTATTTTATGTTTTAAATATAAGATTAATATAG